CCATTCTTCTTTCTTCCTTGGTAATAGAATCCTCCATTTTTAACTGAGCGAAAGGCTGCCCAGAATAAGACAATCAATAAAATAGAAGCAGAAATGTCATATACCAGCTTCCAGAAATTTCCTGAAAAGACAGCCAGCGCAGGACCTTTGCCACCGCCTTCCCTTGCCTTCATCCCGCTTCCTGGAGATGATGGATGGCATCCTAGAGCACGCGCTGGGCCGCGAGGCCTCTGGAACGCACACAAGCTCAGGACCGCAGAGCAGCGGGCTGGCGGGCCCGTGAGGAGAGCGCCCACCGGACTTCTTTTATATAAGAAAGAAAAACCTCTCTGTACTTTGGTAAATCCTCATTATTTTGTAGGTGTTTTGTGAATCTAATCCTAACTAATATAAGTGTCTCCAATCTATTCATGGGGTTAAACCAGTAGGCTCTTACGCGGGCGATTCTGTCTCCCCACATACATCTGGCAATGTCTGAAGTCATTGCTGGCTGTCACCACTGGGGGCGCGCTTGTGGCAGCCAGTGCGTAGAGGCGAGGGACGCTGCAAACACTCTAACACAAACAGAACAAGGTCCCCACAACAAAGAATTATTCATATCTAGCCCAAAATGTCAATTTTGCCAAGGTTCAGAAACCTCAGGTTAAACATATATCTCAGGAAGGCCTTCGCTTACTATAACAGGGTACAAGAATGAGGTATGCTGATTAATCAGTACTCGCCAGAGTTACCATGTATCTCAAACAGTGATAAACAGTTCTCAAAGAATTATAATATAATGAATTACACAACATAACATCTAGCCAAGACTTCAGGTTGGTGGCACATGGGAGAATATTCCATCTACAAGAGATTCTCAATACCAGTTGCATGTTCTCATCCCCTGGGAAGCTTTTAAAAATAGTGATGCTCAGGTTCCACGCCAACCAGTTACATAAAAATTCTCCCATTTCATGGGGACGCAAATATTTTCCATTGGAGCGCTTTTTACAAATTCCTTGAAGAATCACCCAGCGTGCAGCACCTGCTGCGTTCCTGGGCCACAGTCTGCCCACTCCTTTCCAAGAGGTGCCTGTAAGAGCAGAACCTTTATTTCCCCTCAGCCAATGTTTGACTCCAGCTTTACCTTCAAAATAAAGGAACACACAGTTCCTTCCCCAGCGAGGCTGTAATTGTGGAGTTTCACTAATGGACGCTGAGCTCCGAGCGCCGTCCTGCCTTCCCTGCGGTCATCGGCCCACCGCCCACACTGGCGGGGAGGTGGGGGGGATCTATTCAGCCTGCCCTTTCATATCCCGCATCAAGGTGCCATTCAGATTTTTGGCTCCTGTTTTATTAACAGAGCTGATCACTGCTCCTACTAGAAGAGCCTGGAAAATTCAGTGTTATACCGACCTAGTCATCGCATCCTCACTTTGACGTCCTGGAAGAAAAAGGAAGTAACCAAGGCAAGTGAGATATCCAACCGTAATTTTTTTTAAAGCCTGGGTGGTTTTAATAAGCAGCCAGGGTAAAAAAAAAAAACAAAAAAAAAAAAACCCACTACGTTAGTATATTGGGAGGAAGTGTGCCTAGCTCTATAACACTACTGTGAAAGCATGTCATGCCGACTCAGAAAACACCCACAGTGCAGAACTTCAAACACTACCTTCAAGGTTGGTCTGCTTCTTTATTTTTAATGCATTCCAACCTAGCAGAGTTAAATGGCTTTTTTTTTTCCTTTAGAAAATATGCATGTCTCTCTCAAATATGTATCAAACAAAAGTGGACGGTTCCATCAACTTCTTAGTCTAAATAAGACACATGCTCTGCCTTAGGCAGCCAGTCCTATAATTTTATGAAAAGCAATTTGAAAATAGTGACCTAGAACACTATTAAAGTCAGACAGCACAGTCCTCTCATTTTATCAGAAAAACACCAGGTCAGACTGCGACTGAAGCAGGCCGCTCCATTAGTGGCAGGCAGCCGACAGAGCTCCTGGACGCAGGCCCTGGACAGGAGTCTGGTAAGAAGCGATCTTGCCTGTCAGTAACAATAAGCAGGCCTGACCCTGGCATAGGAGCGATTTCTCTATCAGATAAACAATAAGCAGCCAACTAACAAGATAATGTATGCAACACCACCTACCTTTTTGAGCAAAGCGGTCTATCTCTGCCACGGCAGAGCTGTTCCTCGTGGTTCTTCTAGCTGTGCAAGGAGCAGAGAATAAAGGCTAGCCCTCAGGTCTGTTCCTAAGGTGCAGTGAAGAGGGAGAAACAGCCCCACGGATAAAAGACATGCCAGGGCCACAGCAGGGACAGCTGCCCGGCAGTCTCTCACACGGCAGAGCCCAAGGAACTGTCTGAGTCACAGGGCCAGGAAAGCTGCCTCAGATAATGCAACATGTACAAAGTATTCAGAAAGGAACCCTGAAGGTATATACCTATCATTGAGAAAAATGCCTTTCACAGTATACTCCTCCAAAGGTATTTTGCCAAGATTGCTGAGGATCACCACGCTCCCATAGCCGATGTTGCCAACTGCATGCGGCTCTTTCAAGAGGTTTGCATTCCCTGTTACGAGAGCATTTTGCGGCCCTTCTAGAGGAAGTGAGCCACGTAATTCCAGAGACTGACAAGAGGAACTGAAAGTTTATAAAGAGATGGGGGCCAGAAGAATAGGTCATTCCAGTCGCACTCCATCATTACACCAGCCTCGTTAAATCTGAAAATGTATTCGTTTTGTTTCTGATAGTGCAGGCACTTTCAGAGTTGGATTATCCAAATCACCGAAGTACCTCCAAGTGCCCTCCCCTTTGCTTTAAACCTTTGCTGGAAGCACAAAGTCCAACAGTAGGGTGGACGGCACAGAGAATTCCGCAGATGGAACAGAAGTAACGCACAAAGAATCACCCTGCCCTGGTACCTGCACCCACAGCTCCTCGCTGGTGGCAGGTATGCGGAGGGGGCCGGTGGTGGTAGGGAGAGGCTAGGAACCTGCAATATTTTATTGTTCTCTCATTTACAAGCTGCGGCAAAAGTAGGTTTACAGTTGTGGATACGGAAAAGAATACAATAATGAATAAATAATAATACAAGAATAACTCTGTGTTTATTCAAGAGAATTTTTGCCCCACCCTGTACTTGTCAGCAGTCACTGATGATGTTACTGAAGATACTCAAAGTTACTCAAAGGGCATTCTTTAAAGTACAAACAACCCAAATTTTCCATCAACTGATAAATGGAGAAACAAAATAGGGTATATTCCTATGATGGAATATTATTCAGCCAAAAATAGGAATAAAATATTGATACATGTTACAACATGGATGAGCCTTGAAAACATTATGCTGAGTAAAAGAGGTTCCAGCCACAAGAGGCCACCTGTTGGATGACTTGATTCACATGAAACGTGGAGAACAGGCAAACCCACAGAGATAGAAAGGAGATGGCTGTCAAGGGCTCGGCGGGGCAGGAGAGGGGCGGGAAGTAACTGCGAATGGGCACAGGTTTCTTTTCAGGGTGATGAGCATATCACCCTGGGAATTGGCGATCATAGTTGCACAGCCTTTGAATGTACCAAAAACCACTGAATTGTATACTTTAAAGTGATGAATTTTATGGAATATGAATTATCCCAATATTTGGAAAAGCCATCCTTTAGTTCAGCATGTCTAGTGCCTGTTAAAACTCTCCCTGTGCTCGGAGGGCCTGCTTTTGCAGGACTCCCAGATGCTGCCCCATTTAGGAGACGAAGAGGAAGCGATGATAGAGGAAGGTTTAAGTGATCCTATCATTTGGGTTTCATCATGTATTAGAGGGAAAGGGGAACAAATAAAATCAGAATGTCACATGTAATCTCTGGCCATGCAGATTGAAGCAACCAATCCATGATGCTCCTGCTAGGACAAAAGCAGGTGTCCCCCACCCTGGCACCAGAGGCACCACGATTTCATTTTTAAAAGGCAATTCTTGCTCAGCTATTTCTTTACCTTATAAACAATGGAGGGCCAACATTAAGCTATTTATAGCATTTCTAGTACTGAGCCTTTGCTTAGTATTTCTTGAAAAAAGTAAACCATTAAGATTCATTCATATAACAAGGAACTGTGCTCAGATACAAAATGACAGATGATGCTAGAGTACCTACCAATTGTTGATTGTTCAAAATAATTAGTTCTAATTTATTTTTCTTAAGTCTTTTGGCACCTTTTAGTAACTCACCTTAATGTTGATCCTAGGTCAGGGCCAAATAAGACAAGTGTAAAACCTCAAATTGTCCAAAGATCCAATTTCAGCCAATGTTTACTTTTCCATTGGTGATTTACCAAAATTACTCATCAGAAGCAAAATGACACACCAGAGTTTCCTTTCTTCCCCATATATGACCTTCTGTGGACGCTACACACTGAGTGACTAGAGAAACAGAAGCCTGGAAAACCTACAAGTTACACAACACTATACAACCACACTCTATGTGCACACACTTACTGTAAAAAGAACAATTAAAAACACACAAAAACATACACACTCATCCCTAAAATATCTCAAGTACGATAAGTGAGATTGAACTTTCCTATAAAAGAGACTCCTGGGGTCTATTTCAAAAGTGTTTTCTCAAAACAATTAGTCAAGAACCCCTTACTCCCAAACCCGGGCCTCTGCATGTTCTGAGAAAAATGAAAATCTACACAGCACTCTGCGATGCACGGTTGAACACACATCGTCTCCTTCCAATGCCTTCCGGAGGTTCGCGTCCCGGCAGCTGCGCTGACTCTCCCACCAACTGAACAGCTTTCCATCTCCTATAACCTAATCACTTGGAAAACATGATACTTAAAAAAAAAACTAATTCCACTGCTAGAGGAGGAGCAGGATACATTTAGCTCTCACCGAACGGTAAGATGTATAGGCTTCCCTCATTTCTGCTTCCCTGGCAAATGCGTTTGTCTTCACCTAACCAGGCAGAGGGTGATCATCAGTAGCTACTGTGGTGCTCTGATTGGTGGCCAGATAGATACCTGAGTTGCTTCAGGAACTCCACATCCGAGTTGCTGTTGATGAGCTTGATGAACTCCTCGTAGGAGGGAGCATAGGTGTAGGCTCTCTTGTGATGTTCGCTCATCTGCTCTCTGTGCTCCAGCTGGGCAAGTAGCATCTGGTTAATGTAGTCAGGGTTACTGAGCAAGGCCACCGCGGGCTTCAGCACTGGGGGGGAGGAGGAAGCGCAGCTGAAAAGGGTATTGCTCTTTAAAGGAATTGTTTTTATATTATGCAATTGACTCTACGTTTGGGGAACATTTTTCAACTACCCAAACGGGGAACATACAGACACACAGACATACCCCCACATGGCTGCCTATCCCAAATGACTAACAAAGCTATCAAAATTAAATATGTTGATCTTTTTTCTTTTATTTTCTTTATAAGGCTCAACATGTTCTGTCTGCCCAAAGATGAAAATCAACTTTCTCCCAACTGCTGAAAGCGGACCTCAGGGGGGAAGTTGTTAAAAAGTCAATGACACTATTACAAATTCATTCATTAACTTCAGGTTCAAAAGTTCCTCTTTTCTCTGTGGTTGATTTTATCAGCTATGGGACACCACTGGCTAATCCTGAAATACTGAGATAGTCAATCAATGCCTATCAAATGCAATGTTATTTGTTTGAAATTTTGAAACAGAAACTTTTCTCTTAAGGTCATATTTTCTTCTATTTTTTTCACCCTGGCTAAGCATGTCCCTGGATATACTTTTTTCTAGGAATCACATTATATTATGGTACAGTTCCTTTTTTTAAATTTATTCCAAGTCCACAAAATTACATATAGGCATTATCAATGAATCTTGTAGCAAAGGTATTTTAAGTAAATGCACACTGGAGTTTGAGTATAGATACTCTTTCATTAATGTATTTATTATTGGCCTGGATAATTCAAAAGCTATGCCAAATGAATGCTTCCTATGAAGCGCTTAAGAGTTGGTTACCCTGTGTCAAAATAAACAACAAAATGTACTCTGCATTGGGTGATGTTATATAGAAATCTGTCTATCGTGTATGGCCAAATGATGTCCTCTCTGAGTGACATTTAAACTTAAAATTTTGAAAATACACTAAACCTCCTATGTCATATAGTATGCAAGGTCCACAAAGGTGTCCTTTCACATGTTATCAATCATAATTAGTGTGTAGCACATTAATTTGCACAATTACCATCGCATTAGTAATATCAATTACTTATGAAAGTCCACCTTTTGTCGTGAGAATTTCTGCGAGCATTACACGCAAGCTGAGAGACTGGACATCTCTGGAGGGGAGAAGACAAAACACCAGAACCCGAGAACACGTCTGTAGGAATCTGATTTCTTCAGCCGAGTTCCTCAAGCATGAATGCAACACAAAAGGCCGCGGCTGGTCTTCTTGTCTGAAAAATACATACATGAGAGAGGATAAAAGAAGGAAAGAAAATTCTAGAAACCATTCAGTTATATGCCGTTAGGTAAAAAATAGTTCAAATGGGCAATACATCAGTTTTTATAACTGTGTTCATTCTTCAACAACATCAGTAGTCAGTAATTTTCTCCCCCCCAGACTAATCTGGAAAAATGCAAATGCATGGCCTTTTGGGATTTCAAGCCTTAAGTAGCACCAACAGTTATATGTAAGCCCCAAATCATAGCAACAATCCAGAAAGGTATGAGTATTTCTTTAACTAGATTATTTTTAAGTCTCCCAGATCTCTTCATAAATATGATCTGCAGCTTCACTTTTCAAAAGAAAAAAAAACAATGCCAGCAAAGCACACGCCGGGGGCACCAGCCAGCTTTCCTGACTGGGTGACTGCGGGGTCACAACAATCGATGGTATTCCCGCTGAGGAGCGGGTCCATGGCTGGATGCCATCTAATGCGATGGCAAACTGCCTTCTGTCCGGCTCCAAAGGGTTTCCCGAATAGTTCTGCCACCCCGGGGCACAGGTTCCCTGTCAGCACGGACCCCATCCCCATCCAAGGGACATCAATTTGGAGGGTCTGAGGAAGCATGGGGAGAACTTTCTATATTTCCTTTTCTTACAGTATCTTAACAGTAACTCAAGAAAGACTAGGAAGGTAATTTTTTAAAGTGTGTGGGCTTCTTACAGTAACTTGTGGCCAAGACTGGAAGAAAACATTTAAAAAAATAAAACCAAACCTGAACGGATGGGGAGGAAGCACACCAGGTTCTACACAGGAAATGAAACAAATAAGTGCCTACTGGGGCCGTTGTGACCAGTGTCTCTCCGGAGTAAATTGTGATGTCTCTCTGCACGAGACTAGGCTAGTTTCTAGAATATGTACACTAAGAAAGGTTTCCTCTTTGTCTTCTCCAGCAAACTAGAGGAATTCAACTCTAATGTGCAAAGCCAACAACATGAACAGAGATTTTAAGAACAAGCCTTTGCACATAGACTAATATATGCTGACTTTTTAAAATGGCACCTTCGATTATTTTAAACTCCAGCTATGCTGCCAGCTAGAGTTCAGTAAATTTAGATTCTACTTTGTCATTTCACACACTTTTAAGGGTGACACTTTAAAATATATATTTGGTTAATATTACTGTGGGAAGCTGGCTAAAAAAACCCACTTTCACAAGAGGCACCTTTAAATAACATCAAAATCCCTCTCAAAGAGCGCACCGCCCCTTCTCTGTTCCAGCGGAGGGCAGACAATGAAAGGGGCCTCATCCTCGGGCATCCACATCTCCTCTCCCTCCTGGAGCTAAGGGGATACCTTCGGAGCGAGCCAAGGCCCAGGACGGTGGTCAGACAGGATGCTGTCTGGAAAAAGGAAAGGGGAGTGCTTCCCTGGAGCCCTCCGCAAACTCCGAGCAGGATATTCCCATGATGCCCCCTCGTAAGGGCACATCAGGCACCGCTTCAGGAGCCGAGAAAGGATCAAGAGTCACGTGGCTGCTTCTAGGTCAGGAGGGTCCAGCTAGCTTCCTGGAGCCTCCAGTCCTAAAGGTGGCGGCACCCTTCTTCTGTCAGTGTGAGCCTGTTTACTGCGGTTCTATGACTTCCCTCTGGGTTCTCGTTCCTTGAGTGAGGAAGAGGACCCTTTGTAAGTTTCCCATGTACACTATTACTTCATTTTCCCATCTACACCAAGAAGTAGATATGATCATTGCCATATTATAGATGAGAATAGTAAGGATCTGAGTAGTTCAGTGAATAGTCCAATCACAGAGGTAATAAATGGTAGAAATAACTCCCAAGTCCCGATTCTCTACACTATACCATAATCAGAGGTCGCACAGATGAGAGGAGGAAAAAAACTGCAGAGATAAAGAGGGAAAATAAGTGAATAAAACATTATTTTCCCCCCTTAAACAGCATACCGGTGCTTGATTAGTAAAGAAAACACAGAGATTGTAAAGACACTACAAAATTAAAGATGCTATCGATTTAATAGCATAAAAAAAATCATTTTTAGATTTCCCTGAAACATGCTGGAACAAGACAGATGGGACAAAGAAAGAGGAAGCAGAGGCAAGAATTAAATGTGATCTGGATTGGCTTAAAGCGGCCACAGAATGTTGGCCTGGAAATAAATACAGGCTGGCCGGAAAGCTGCCTCCACACACTGCCTAACAGTCAGCCAGAGGGCGTGTTGCTTTTATTAACGCAATTTATTATTCCCTTGTCTGATAGTGACCAATTCAATCGGAGCCTACCAGGCTGCCGAGCCATTCTGCAGCCCACGGGCATCTGCACAGTCGAGGAGATTTCTAGGATAAGGGCACAGTTCACCTGGGGCAGGCAAGCACAGGTCCAGCCATCAAACCTAAATGAGCTGTCTGCCAGCCTCCCTGTGTGGTGTGTGGAAGATGATGCGCAATCAGATATTAGCTCTCCAGAGTTCACCTCCAGGGCATGCACGATCATCTACATGCAAAACACCAGCGACCTAGTGGCACTTTTCAAATGTCCATAATCCCAGAGAACAGTGACAGAGTCTTTTCTTCAATAAGGATCATCTACGAGAGCGCCTAGGCACAGCCTAGATACCGGTAAAATAAATCTACCCTGCGCGGAAGACGACTAGAAGCCCAAAGAAAAGTTTCTAAATTGAAATCAATTTGCCCCGACCAGTGTGGCTCAGATGGTTGGGTGTCATCCCACAAATCAAAAGGTTTTGGGTTCAGTTCCCAGTCAGGGCATATGCCTGGGTTGTGGATTAGTTCCCTGGTCAGGGCTCATACAAGAGGCAACCAATTGATGTTTCTCTTCCTCTCGCTTTCTCTCCCTCCCTCTCGCTTTCTTTCCCTCCTTCTCTCTCTAAAAATAAATAAATAAAATTTAAAAAAATTCTCTGTTTCTATTATTCTAGTGCTTTATCTATAAATGTTTATATTATTCACAAAAGCAGTGATTTCAGAAGATGGTAAATGTCTCAATGAAAAATACATTCTAATGTTAAAATTAGATACTCCTAAAAACACTAAATTTCTCTAACCACTTGCTCTTCTCCCAAACCTAAATCCATCAGCCTTCTAACTGGTATAAAACAATGATTTAAAATACTTTCCTCTATCGGACCATAATTTAAATGCTTTACCTTGAAATGAACATCCACTGAATTCAAACAAGTCTTTGACAGCGCCTGCCAGGTAGACTGTGCAGTGCCTTCTGTAAAGGACACCACAGCCAATCAGTAGGCGCCCCAAGGGGTTGCTGAGCCCTCGAAAGGAGAGGCTGAAGCTTTGAGGCTCTGCAGAGGTAACCCATGAGTCCTATTTCTCTCTCTTTCCTTATTAGTTCACATACCCTCTTACTGGAAGTTAGTTTCTCTATAAACAGCAATATTCAAAGGGTGGTCTGGAGACTCCTACGTGTCCCCAAGACCCTTTCAGGGGCTCTCTGAGGTCAAAACTATATTCATAGTAATATAAAAATGTCATATGCCTTTTCACTCTCGGTCTCACAAGCACAGTGGAGTTTTCCAGAGGCTACAAGATGTGATGACATCACCACTCTGTTAATGGAGAATAGACTACGTATTCTTGACTTTTAAAGGTTTCTTAGTTTTAATATCTGATATAGTAAATATGAGTAGATATAATAAGTGGTGAGCTGGTAAATGTATAACAATTGGCTCTTCCATGGGAATAAAAAGAAAAAAAAGCTCTGATCTGTAGCATTCGCCCATTCCACAGTGTAAATATGCACACAGGGCCAATGACAAGCTACCGACGTGACGTCACTGACCTCGGAGGCAGGGAGAGAAGTGCAGAGTCCGCCGTGGTAAAGCGGGCCGGCCGGCCCCAGCACACCAGGACACAGGGCCTCGTGAACAAAAGCTCTGCTCAGTCCCTGTGAGAGTGGGGAGGGCTCCCGGGACCCCCAAAACAGAGCACCACTGTTCTACAGTAATTTTTTTAGGACATGGGTGCTAACCCATAAGGAACAACAAAAAAATTTTTTTACTTAGTCTCAAACACCATTTTTAAAAAATGTTAAAAAGCAGAAAGTATCAGTTTTCACATGTAACAAGAGCATTGTTTTATGAAACTGGGTCACGATATAAAATGATATTTTTCTTACTATGGGTACCAGTTTTTCACAAGTTTGCTAGAAAACAATAGGCTGATGGCCCCGTGGACTTTGGTCTCATAAACCTGCGCCAGGTAGGCTTGGGGAGAGAAGGTACTATAGGGGAGGAGACAATATGCTGGGGATGGATGGCGGCCGCTGTACAGCATGTTTAGCAACCAGGCCCCACTGAGCAACGTCACAGGGCAGAACAGAGACTGCTTTCTGATCAGTTCGCACGACAGCCCTTTGTAGAAAAAAATGTGAGCTACCATCTGCCCAACAGGGATGCCAATGCTTACTCAGCCCCTTATGTAGTTTTCAAATACTTTATCTCTCCCCTAAAGGTAATGGAAGAATAACAACAGTGAAAATCGGTCCATGAGCTACAGGGCGCCTCATTTTTACTCCAACTGAGTCCACACCCAGACAGGCAGAAGGCTCTTCAGTTCAGAAGGACTACTTTGTATGACCAAGTGAGAAGTACATAATTCATCATTCTTGCACTCACTCGAGAGTAAAACATTCATTCAAGATCCTATCAGTAAACCTAAGAAAGAAAGGTTTATTATCAGCAGAGAAATGGCCTTGTTGAAGTGTTTTCCCAAAGGCACCCGCCTGCGAGGCATAAGCCTTTCCCCTGTGCCAGTACAAAAGGCTACAAGTCTAACATCAGCCACTCTGACGCCGGAAGTTCTCTTACTATAGCGCACAAGCGCCAATATTAAGTTCCATCGAAACATCAATTTTCAGGATATGGTGATGTTTTTAACACAGGACTCACTACTCCCCCGAAAAAATTTAACTTTTGTACAAATTATAAACTCAGTGATACTCTTCACAGTATGAAACACTATACTTTAATTTTCTATTTCTCAGTATCCATAATACTATCGATAACATCATGATAGTGCTGGCTCAGTAAAATTCACTTCGCTAAGCTACTTACAAAATTAAAGTCTATAAAGTAGTTTGCTATTAGAAAGTCATTTTTAAAAAATCTATTCTATCGTAACTCTACAATTCCCCTCAATATGTCTACATTTCAAGCCACATGTCAGAAAGAGATAGAATATTCCAGAGTTTGTCTTGGCTGTGGTCCCTTAATCAATAAGAACAGCACTTTCATGTGGAAAGAGGAGAGGCGGTTTCTGGTATTCGAACGTTTACCTGGCATTCGCCGCTTTCAGGTCACAGAAGTGAGTGAGCAAGGTTCTGACGACGTCATTGCAGACGACTTTAACCACATCCACGTGGCTCAGTCTGTGGTGCAGCTGTTTGGCGATTTCCCAAAAATCTTCCAAGAGCAGGTTGTAAAGTTGTCCCTCATCTTTGCTGAGGTTCCCATACCAGGACAGAATGTAATCTCTATAACTGTAGTCAAACACTACCGGGAATAAACAAAGCAGTGAGCAAAACTTGGATGAAAAAAGCAAACGCCAAGACAGGATTTACGCTGGCCACTAGCCACCTGCTCTTTAATATACATTGTTTAAAAGGCAAAGAGAGTAGAAGACAAAACAAGAAAACACATTATCTTCCAAAATGAAAGAGTCTCATCTGACTGGAAGTTTTGGGGTATGGTGACCAATGGCCTTGAGTCCTGGGTTTTCTTGGACAGCTCACTTTTTAAATAGTCTATCTGATTCCAAACTGTCTAAAAGTAGAGCATCATAGATAGCGGCAACACACTTATGGGGTGTATTGATTATCAACTTATTGCCTCTCAGCTCCAAATTCACCCTTTTTGGCCACACTTTGATGTTGGAGCTCGACCCTGTGCCCATTTCTTCTTTGCCAACTGGTATAACGTTCAGTTTTATCAGCAGAGGGTGCTGGGGGGACCCTGAGGGCAGAAGGAGCTTCTCCTCCCAGTCCCTGTGCGCCTCTCAGGGGTTGTTTCTGCACAGGCGGCCGACAGCCGCATGAGGAGCACTGGGCGGTGCTCACCCCCAGCAAGTTCCAACAGCACCGAGACAGCAGCTTCCTGAGAATTCCACTGGCACACAGGGGTGGCTTCCCCCAGCCTCTGGTATCTCCCCAGACTTCTCCACCATCCCATGGGCCAAGGCCGTGCCCTCCCCAGTGAGGCCTGGGTCCCAGTTCTCTGGGAGGGGCCCCTCTCTCAAATGCACTCCTCCCTCAAGGGCTTTGCCTCAGCCCCAGAGACAGCCCTTGAGATAAAGTGCTCCCATTCATCTGCTTGTCCTCTATTCTTTATAGAGTTCTCTTTACCCCTCAGGAGTGAAGTCCATGTTACAAGTTAATAATTCTTCATTTTTTAATCCTCACCCAAGGACTCATTTATTGATTTGAGAAAGAGAGAGGAAGGGGGGGCAGAGATAGAGAGAAATATCGATGTGAGAGAGAAGCATTGATTGACCGCCTCCCAGACGCATCCCGACAAGGGATCAAACCTGCAGCCTACGTACATGCCCTGACTGGGGATCGAACCCTCAACCTTTTGTTGTACAAGACGATGCTCCAACCAACTGAGTCACCAGCCAGGGCCAAAGGAAATTTTTAAATAAGTGTCCTTAAGCATTTCATATAAACTGAACTCAAATTGCTATAGCCTTAACAAGCATCCCCGTTATAATTTGCAAGAACACTGAACGACCCTTAATTTTATCAAGGCAAGTCTACTAAAAATAGCTAATAATATTCAGAATTTCAGTTACATATCCTTGTAGCAGGATTTAGAAATGTAAACTAAAATATTCTAGATATGCAAATTATAATCACTACACATTTTCTAAATGCTTATAGAACCTGTTAGCCTTCTCAACACACATTTTTAGGTTCTAATTTCTTACTAAATTAAATGTCCAAATATTTTAGAAGGCAATTTTGGTTTTAATTTGTCTCATGTTAGTATTTTGTCTAATTAAATATTTTAAATAATTATTTTGTTTATTGTGTAGAAAAGCTTTGGGATATTAAGTTTATTAACATATTGGCAAGGGCTATGCAACTTGATGTACTTTATTACTAAAATATACGTATTGCAATAACCTTGATAAAACAGCAATTCGAAGCCCCCGTTTGTTAATTCTAGGATTGTTTTATCTTGGGACTGGTCTGAATGGCTTGGAGAGCTGTCACTAATACAGAGCTCTAAGTAGAAGTACACTCTCTTGGCTATATTCTCTGAATGTTTAAAAATTCCTTTTCCTGTGTGTGCTTTTTGTTCCAACTTTATTTTGTATTGGTTTCAGGTGTGCAGTTAGTAGTTAAGACAATCAGATGCTTTACATAGTGTTCCCCTCAATGTTTCCAGTACCCCAACTGGCTCCATACATAGTTACTGCAATATTCATGTTGTTTTTTAATAACTACTGCTAAATGCATAAATTTTACTCGCAATAAGCACCTTTGTAGCAGCCGATAGCTGTCCTTTTGGTAGATTATATAATCATCAACTGTCTTGGAAATGATTTGGCCTAAAACAAAGGGCGGCAAATTGAAAACATTAAAAATATGCCTTAGGGAAGGATTGAGGGAGGGAGGTGGGGGAGGGTGGGGCAGGGGAAAGCAGTGGCAGGAAAATGGCAACTAATGTATTTGAACACTAAAAAAAAATTTTTTTAAAAGAATATGCCAAAAAAATGACTGCAGAAAGGTATAATTAACTAAAGCTCTTACCCAAAGGCTTTGGATAATATTTCCTTTCAAAAGAAATCATTGAACAGAAATTAGCCTGCGGATAACATGCGTTTTGTTGTTTTGGTTTGTTTGTTTTGTTCTGCTTTGGTATTTGTCAGCTAGGTCTTAACCCTGTCCTGCACGTGTTCCCCAAATTATTCCTGAAACAAACTGGCCCATCCGAGAGAAACGTGCCATGCCTAAGTGCCGAGAAAGTGCACTTCGAAGTCTTAAAAAATTAAAGAGATACCATGTTCATAGCAGCATTATTCATAACAGCCAAAAAGTAGAAGCAACTAAAGTGTCCACCGATGGATAATGAATGAATAAACAAAACGTGGTATATACGAAAAATGGACTTAAAAGGAAGCAAATTCTGATACAGGCTACAACACGGATGGACTTTGAGGACATTACACAAAGTAAATCGGCTCGATACAAAAGGACAAATACTGTATAATTCCACTTATGTATGGGAATTAAGAGTCGCATTCACCAAGACAGAAGGTAGAATGGTGGTTACCAGGGGCTGAGTAAGGGGGAGTCGGAGTTGTTGTTTAATCGCGGCAGAGCTTTAGTTTTGTGAGATGAAAAGTGTTCTAGAGACTTTGCGCAGCCATGAAAATGTACTTAACACGACTGAAATTTATACTTAAATAAAATGGTGAGGGTGATAAATTTTATGTTATGTGTACTTTACTACAACTTAAAATAATAAAAAAATTAAGGAGAGAGTCCCAGTTCCAGGGATGGTGGGATAGTATATACCAGACCAACCTCATACAGAAAACAATTAGGAACCCTGACAAAAAAATTAAGAGCTACTTAAAGGCACGGGAACGAGTCAAAGTAAGTAGAAACTGAAGAAAAGTCTACCCTTGAAAGAAGGAACTAATACTGGGTATGTTCACGTTTATACAACTTCCCCCCGAAGGTACTCAAGGGTCTAGACACACAAGGCAGGTCAAACGTAGACTGAACATCTGTTTTTTGGTTTGGGGTTTGTTTTTTGTTTTTTTTTAAGATATCAAAAAACAAAATTAGAAACTACCAAAGCAGCTGGAAATAAAAGTAGGAAATACTAAAAAGGGTAAAGCCACAAAACCTGGGTACAAAGTCTCAAACCAGCTGATGACTCTAAGCTAAACCTGCATCCGGGTGTGGCTGCAGGGAGACCAGGGGAGGCCGAAGCGCCCGGAGGGCTCCAGAGCAGGGCCGAGACTTCGGCGGCTGTGGGAGGCCCATGCCATAGGTGTGTTCAGCCTAAGCCCGGGCACGACGGGATTCACGTAGACTAAGGACAAAATCCAAATAGATCCACCCTAAGAAAAGTATAAAACCAAATATCTTCAAGGTGATCGGTTGAAAATTAAACTACATAACAGAAGAAAAACTAATATTTTTCAGAGGAAGATAACAGAATCTAGAATGCCTAGGAACTAGCATTCACATTGTTCTGTACACAGTTAAAAATAATTAGACCTGAGAAGAAACCCAAAACGTTAACATACAGTTAAAAGAAAAAGCAATCAATTGAAACCAACCCTAAGACAGCCTGGATAACAGAATTAGCACACACTTACTTTAAAGTAGCTATTATAGTATGTTCAAGGAATTAAAGATAAAAACGGTCATAATAAATGACAGATGGGGAAATCTCAGAAGAGAAGCAAAAAAGGACCAAAGAAATTCTACATCTGAAAAGTACAATATTTGAAATAAAAATTTTTCTAGATGCACTTAATCAACTGCATGAGGCAAATTTCCGGTGCTGACATTCTTTATTTTGATGAAGACCATGGTTACCCAGTTATACGAATTTCTGAAAATAACTGTACGCTTAAAATTTGTGCATTTCAAAGTAGATTAATTTTATCTCAATAAAAACATTAAGCACTACTTTTGAGATTAGTAATAATAGAAGCCAAAGTTTAAATCTAATGCTTTATCAAAGTCATCAGACGTTGCTAATATAACAGAAATATTTTCAAAGTTTAATTACAGTCCTAAAAGTTCTAAAATGCAATGAAACCACACAATTTCACACTGTCTCTGTACTTATCAGCATTCATTTTCCAATGTTCATACAGTGAGGTCTGTGAACTACGACAAGTAAAACACACTTGCTTCTGTATCAATTAATCCTCTCTTAACTCCATACCTAACATCATGTATTCACCTGAAAAACTCACACCTCTTCTGCACATATAACTGAAACTGTCAATGTTTTTGGAAATATAACTTTAAAAATCACTTTTGAACTTTAATTCAATAAAAATACATTGTCTTTTAAACTTTAGCATTTATAATTACACTTACTCCCTCGCACCTTGAGACATGTAACAATACTGTACCCTCCACAATCCTCCATCCAACCTGCCTCAGTACCGATTTCATTCTTCAGTACGGTTGGTTGCTATCCCTTATTTTGGTTAACTGGTTTGTCCATCAGTGAGCCTGAATGGAGTATATTTATTCCCAACACACTTTCTCTAGGTTACGTCTAAAGGAAGAGAATATTTCCTGATGAGTATTTTAAGGGACAGAGAACATGCCCTTGCTTCGTACAGTGAAACACGCTCCACATGGCTGGCTAGCTTCAGGTGACCTCGAAGTTCCTACTTAATAAAATGTTTAAAATGTTTAAACACTGTCCGTTCTACCAAAACATGAATATATTTACTTAGTCATCAAATAAAAATTCATGAAGAAAAACATCCTAATACTATACAAGACAGGAAGGAAAGATAAATTTGCTAGACATTATTGTCCTTTTAGAATTCTATAATGAAGTGTTCTACATGGTAATTATGGACTCTCATTTAATCCTTACCTTCTTTCAGAGCTTTATCCATATTATGAGAAATTACTACCCTTCTAGACTGAACTGTCTCCTGTGAGTTTCCATAAACAGGACTCTGAAATGTAAGAAAAAGGGAAAAGACACAGGTTACTAAATGAATAAATCACATATAAAATCAAAGGTATGAAATGTCACGTACACAAGCAGTAAGACATTGCTTATCAGATTATAAAGTTCTTTCGAAAAAGTAAATAAATGTTTAAAGTTAGTTTAAAATTTTCTGAGGAAAAAAAATTCAGGAAGGATTTTTCTCTCTTTTAGATATCAAAACCGTATGATGCAAATATAGAAATAAACAAATCAAGAGAATGGTAGAGAGTACAAAAACATGCAAAATGTCTGGGAACATACACACCAAACTATTGAAAGTGGTTTTACCTAGGCAGGGGCATAGGACTTTAACTTCTTCTTCTATATATGTCTATGTAACAGCAAGTTTTTAAAAACTGTAAAAAGATACTGCTTGGCAAAAGAGCGGGGAGGGGGATGGAGGAAGGAGTACACAGAATTCAAATCCCACTAGCGGGCTAGCAAGACTACATTAAAGAGGAAAGAAATTTGAAGTGTTCACATACCAAAATGATCAAAAGCATGTATAACGTAATTGGGCCTACCCCTTGGTTTTGGAAGATAAACAGTAACTGTTAAGTCATGTTAACATGTGGAGTTTGGGGGGCAGGAGGTTACATTGTATATATTACAAACGCTCAACCAGCATTACCACATCACTGAGAGAATCAAAATGGCTAACATTACTCTCACCCTCATGCAACGAACAAGCCCGAGGAAATCACTCTGCAGGCAGGCCACCCAAACGCAGCTGCGGTCAGCCCCGCACATCTGGGCCACCCAACCCGGCGCAGGAAATTTCTAGACTCCAGCTTAGTTTTATGCTATCCATCGTGTCAAGTGCCAACAATGGCATCTGTTTTTGTGATCACTTTAATAAAAAAAAAAAAAAAGCCATAGTTTTAAGATTCCTTAGTTGAAATACTTTTAAAAGCCTTAAGTATACAATTATACTCATGAACGAAAAGAATTTCTTTACGCTAACAAATTAACATACCATTTACTACTTTCCTGTGGATTGTTTTTAAAACCTTAAATAATCATAATGAAAAAAAGCCATTTAATGCATAAAAGAAATGCACTTTCAATCATTTAAACCTATTTTCTACTCCCTGAGTAGCTTGTTATAAAATTAAGTGGTCAGTACATTTTATTATAATTTTTAAATGCTAGTACTTTTTAGAACATCAAAAAGATATTTAAACAACTGACCGATTTTTTTGGACAATTTTTGAGTTAATATTTTTAGAGCACTATACTGATAACTAACTTTAATCACAACTTTCCAAGCCTTTGGCAAATAGGCAGGTATGGTTTCCCAAACGTGGGTATGGCGGTTTTAGTGTACATCATGAATCAGATGATAAAACCAAAGCCACATAACACTTATTTGAGAAGCTCCAGAACTGAGGTTATTGAAATGAAAACTGTCTTTAAGGGGTGGGACGGAAGCAGGTTTTCTGTGCTTGTGTTTATCTTCACAACTTTCTTCAGCACGTACTTTTTTTTTTATTCTTTTTCCTTCTTTTTTGTCTCTCTAGTCATGGCTCTACTACGTCCTGCCATCGGCATATTTCTTTTCTGTCTCTGCTTCACACTTAGATATAAAACATATATAAACATTTGTTGTCACTAATGACTGCATCTGAAAAAGGATTTAATTGATTCTCTTTAAAAAGCTGACGAGATTAACATTTTCCATTTTTGGCTTTTTAAGTAGAAGCTCTATTATTCTGTCAACCGGGTGTTCCAATCTGGCTCTGGATTTCCCCACACTGCAGTCCCCAGGGGTCGCTGGTCCTTACTAGAAAGAAAAAGGGTCTTCATCCCTATACCATCCCACAGCCCAGTGGAGTGTCTGTAGGCAAGGAAAACGGAAGGACAGCAAACATCATGGGCCAAAAATAACCATGTAACTATGCATGGAAAGTCCTTTTTTAAGGATTTAATATTCACGGAGCCAGGATCTCCTGTCTAAATTCCTACACAAGTCTAAGTTTGTCACTACATACTTCATTTCTTTCAGATCACAGTTTACTAATCATCACCCCCGGGGGTGGGGGGGGGAGGGAGAGAGAGAGAGAGAGAGAGAGAGAGAGAGAGAGAAGAGAGAAAGAAAGAAAGAAAGAAAGAAAGAAAGAAAGAAAGAAAGAAAGAAAGAAAGAAAGAAAGAAAGAAAGAAAGGAGAGAAAGGGAAAGAAGGAAAGAGAAGGGGAGGAAGGAAAAGAGAGGCAGGCAGGGTGGAAGGAAATAGGCGGGTGCGGGAAAGGAGGAAAGCCAGCTCAAACAAATGCAAAATGCGAAAGAAAGGCTTTCTGCGGCCCAGAGGACAGAAAGCAAAAAATGTCTTCCTTCTCCTTCTATTTATAGGTTTGAAAAAAAGAAACTCCACATGGCAGACACTTCCCCAAAGGACTTGTTCTTTAAGACAAATGCAAACTTTCCTCTATTTGTGTTGTCACTGGCGATTAGGCTCCTCTACAGGACCATGAGGAAAGCATTCCAAGGACCCACACACGGGAGACTGTGGTGTGGCAAGATGATTTATTCAGGCGGAAACAGAAGCTGCTCCCTGGGTTTCCCATGTCCCACTTCCCTCTGTTCGGCTATGGAAAAAGTCCAACCGTGTCCTCAGCAAGGCCAAAGCAAAAGCCGGTGTCCAGAGCTCCTGCATCATATTAGAGCTCAGTTCAGTCCAGCATCTGGCTAGTTTAGCTTGTGTTCCCAGCTGCAATCTGTTGCTGTGCTGAGATACTCAATCTCCCCAGTGGAGCCTGCATGTGAAGTCCATGTGGCCATCAGCCACACGGCTGCGGAGACCCCACGGCTATGGAGAGAAGGCACATGAGTGCCTGGGGCAAATGTGGGCGGAGAGGAAGAGAGAGATGCTTCTTTGCTCCCCTGGGATTATATTAGCTTGGGTTTCGGATGGACCAGGCGCTTTTTCAAACGAACCAATCAATTTCCCAGGCTTTCATGGGCTTTGTAATGGGTCCACGCCCTAGTTAGACTGACAGGCCTCTGTGGTTAAGCGCCTCCCCCTGCCCCCCTCCCCCCACTATCTGGTGCTGGAGGGGGAGGGAGGAGTGCCGATCTCCTTGGTGGAGCACAGCTGTGACCCCCTGGGGTGGGAAAGCTGTAGCTTCCTGGGGAAGCAAATAGGCTCATGCTCCCCTGTTTATTAAACTCAATGTCTAAGTCCCTTTGCTCCCCACTTTTTAAAAATTAATAATTAGCTAACTACTTATGGTAACATCTGCACAACAGCAGGTCCCATTCCTCTCTTCCTGACCATCGCTTTCCTAAAATATCAGCTTTAGGAAAGAAGAAAGAAAAGTAAATGTGTTGTTCCCACTGTCACAAAGGGTAAGTGATACAAATCTTCAATGTCCTAATTAAGACATGAGGACGTCAAAAGTGGTCTGACCAGTCAGTCAGCTCTCATTTTAAGTTTCTAGCACCCACACCACACTACTCACTCATAAAAGCTTTCATTAAAAAAGTATCCCTTGTCATGTAAAAAAAAAAAAAAATGCCTTAATTTTCATTTGATTAAAATAAATGAAATCTGTCTTAATTTTAAGATATAAACCTAACTTAAAACCAACATGTCAAGATCATTTCTAATCACTCAGTGAATTCTTTGGAGAAAGAAAATGAGAGGTCTCAACATAAAAATGCTAATTTTAGAAATGCTTTCCAAAGACGGCAAAACCTGGAAGCTTTTCTCTAATATACATATGGAATTAGATCCTCAGCATCAAGGAGTAGACGCCATATCAAAAAACCCTTTCCCAAGAACATATCAGCTTTCCATTTACTTCTGAATATGAGCTTTTAGTCTACAGCCATAATACACTCAAATCGCCTGCATCAGAGCTAAGGCGCTTTTGAGTGTATGACGCCTGTAGATGCCCTACCCTGAGGAAATGACACCCACTGGGAGTCTCCATACAGAGAGATCTGGGTACTCTGACACCATTAGCAGCTAAACAACCAGGACCCATCTGGAATCTGGCCAAGACCTATACCTCATCGCCCATTGTTTATCATGCTGACTTTGCTTACTGTGCTGCTTCCTGTGGGCACACAGACGGGCACCATAGCCAGTCATGACTTCAGATTCCTGCCGCACCCACTGTCTCTCTCCTTCATTATATACTTATACACTGAAATTTTTTTTTAATGTATTTTGGTTTATTTTAAAAAGAAAAACACTTCACAGAGTTGAAGGGGTGATGGTCATAATTTTTTGTAAAGCTACTGAAGCAGGGACTTATCTTAGGAAAACACACACAAACCCCCAATCATCACCATTAGCCACACAGAACTGTCACATGGCTGAGTCTTTGCAGATACTCCCAGCATCTGACCGTCTACTGGGATCCCGTGACAAATCTTCTCATTCTTAAATTATATTATTCTCAAAGCCATGGCTCCTTTCGAACCAATCATATTCTGCCTCGGCCTTCAAAAAGAATTCATTAATAACCAAAGAAATGAAGGAATCACACCTATTCCTCCGCAGGAAGATAGGAAAGGACTAAGAAACATGAAAGGCCATCTCTAGTAACTAAGACCCTGACAAAAGATGGTGACATAGCAATAAAAGTCATGCCCCCCATGGAAGGTGAGTAGCCCCATTACGGCGCTAGGGGGGAGGCGAGCAGAGTGCAGAGAACGCCAGCTCTCGAGTCTAATAGCACATTTTCCTAACACTACGTCCTTGACTCAGCCACTTCCCTCTCTAGCTTAAGTGGGCTTACAATACCTCAGAGGATTAAATAAAATGCCTAATGCGGGGGTCCAGGAAAGAAAAAAACAAAACAGAACAGGAGCTTAGTGAGGATTGGAACTGAGTTAAGAGGGTTACTACTGCTATACAGCGAGGTGTTACAATTTTTTCCAACAAAGGATTAGAATCAAGAATTTTCGATGATGTCTCCAAGTAACTCATCCTTGTTACAGACACTCCTTATACTGTTT